TGTGAATGACAATCGGCTGTTTCACATTTATCGTCACATGCACACACATTGTGCACCTAATCCAACCGAATTTTATAATCGCGTTTCGTTAAGCTCCGTATGATGTTACTTGGTTTGGTCCAGTTACAGGCACGGCATGCAGTTTCTCATATTCAATACTTGCCTACTTACACACCAATACAAGTTATTAGCTGCTAACTGTGCTTTTTCTGTGACCGTTTACAACGATGGTAAGTTGACCGTATTTTTTCTGAATTGAAAATAATACAAAATCTAGTCTGGGAAACCCAGAAAGTGTGCTTCTGTGAAATCGTGTACTTCCTGAAATATCCAGTATGAAATCGCAAAATCATGTGATATGTCTTTATTTCGTTGAGGAATTCTTCCAACCATGATGGTTTAAAATTTGCCTGGCAAAGTGATGCACGTATCGCACTATGCTTTCTCATACATGCAATTACGTTTAACTCACACATCCAGCGTGCATGCTTTTGCAAAATTAAAAAAAAGATACTGCTGGGCCATAAACTGTTACATTTTGCTCTTCACTGAAGTTTATCATCGGTTTGAGCTGTTTCTTTGTGTTAGTGACATCAGAGTGATTATACCAAATGGTAACGGAATGTGCGCGGAGAAAGAATAGCATTTTCACGTAAGCCTAACCTTTCATCCTGTCGCCCACTAGATTTTACTCTCTATTCAACGAGAGGCAGGAGAATAGGTGACCATTTACGCCAAACGTCGTTTCAGTATAACCAACAACTGCGTTCTCGTCCTGTGAGACGAGAACTACCAATATCACAAGCAACGGTTCAGCATTGGGCGCACTAGTAGAAATGGAATACGTAATCCTCAGGCGTTCACACTTAGTGACTTCATCCGGCTTGTTCTAAAAAGCAATAAAATTCCAAAAATAAACCACGTCTGTATCCATCCATGCCTAATTGAATGAGCATACAATTTCTGAAGGGCCTCAATTTATTCGTGTGCTAATTTCTAGGCTCAGTCGATCCAGTTTGACAGTGTTCGAATTCATTTTGTGGTCAGTTTGATTGTACCTTCCGTTGCACAGCTTAGTATTAAAGATATCGCTGCAGTTGGTGATGATTTATGCTTGCATTGTAAAACCCGATTTTGGATCTTCCGGCATTTGTTCTCCTGCAAAAGGCGCAGACGGGATTTTTAATAATAACCATAGACCGTAGGCAAATCCCGTGGTTTATCTTGATTGTCGATTGTATGTGAACCTCTGAGTGAGTAGGAGCCTGGTCCATATGTTGTCCAAATAAGTAATTCTTTTAAACAGAACACTCAACGGAAAAATATAACGTCACACGGAAGAAAGAATGAAGCAGTGTCGAATTCCTAACATTATTATGGCTGAACTTTTTCCGGTGATATTCATTCATTAGTGTGAATCCTTTGATATCCCATCGCTTGGCTGAATGTGATGCGTAATTGCCGTATATTCATTTTACATTAATTTGAACAGTCATTGATCAGATCCAGGAAATTATGGTGAAAATTCAAATGTCCTTTGTAATAGATGACAGAAAACACATGACCACTTATAGTCGAACGGAAAATTGTGCATATTTGTGTGGAGAAATATGGGCTAGTGTGTAATATCCACACACGTTTTGATGGGGTTTCATTCTTGTTCGCTCCCTCTGAACATCTCCCTCCATGAAAATGATGTATTTGCATCAAATTAAGTGCTTCATTTATTTCTCTTGGTTCCAACAGGAGCCAAAATGTTGAGTTTGAACGACACTTTCCGTCGAACATGCTCGATAACCCGAACGAATAGCAAAACGTAATTCTCACTGGCTTATCTGAAGTGCATGGACAACAGTCTTCTTATTTTTGTCTGACGGTAAGGAACCAACATACGCGGTTGCTATCGGAAATCTCCTCATCGTTTACTGAAGATAAATCTGATCAATAAATTTATTTTATGCCTTAAAGTTTTAGCACTTCAGTGCGCATCAGACCTAGCCGTTGGAAAAAACAAAACCATAAATCAGACTGAAATTTTTCTTCATCTTCCATAAGCTGGTAATAAGAAGTGTTTTCCCGTGTAGCTCAGATATAAGAACCTGGTTTACATTTCATGGCGGCGTAAATTCTCAAGTTGGGACAGGGATAAATTAACTTTTTTGTTGATTACTCCCCTAATATTCCTTACTACCTACCAGAGTCGCTGACACAGCTGCTCTAATAGAGAGTCATACATTCCTCTCACCAAAGTATCTAGTTTATTGCTGTCCACGCATCACTAATGCGTACCAATAAATAATAGCAAAATATACATATTTATTTCATCTGATGAGAATGAGGACTTTCACTGTTTGATTGCCCGAATAAGCTTCTGTTTGCTGACAAACTGTGTTTATCAAAATAAATAATACCACTATTCTGTACCAGAAACTAATAAGGTAAAGAAAAATTTACTGCTCCGGATCTGTTAGTCCTGTTATAGGGCCCTAGAATCTGAACGTGAACAATGGTAATCTGAACACTCAACATTCCATAAATTCACTAGAACAGAAAAAAGACACAAGTCGCAAGAAGAATGCATTTCGTTTACTCTTGTCAAACCGCGAGCGTAAATCATGTCAGTGTATACATACGTGGTACAGTAGGGGGGTAAATGCAACAGTGAAATAGGTACAATAGAAAGTTTAACAGTACGTAATTTGGACAGAGTGAAGTCTGTCGTGTTACCGCCGAAGTAGACACATAGTTCGGGCCAATCGTTTTTGTGCGCACAGTGCTGCCTGATGCATCATGATTGGAGTCGCTTCACCAAAAGCTATTTGTTTTGACGTTGGATTGCACCACAATGCTTTGAAACACTGGGTCAGGTCAACTTTGTGACCTGATGCAGTTAAGTGTCTTGCAGTCAAAAAAGCTGGTGACTTCATGGGGTTTTGTATTGCGCCAGCGAGTTGCGTCATCAAGTCTGACAGCCATTTGGGTATGTGTTCTGACACTCGTTGAGTCAAGCAGCTATCCATCCTGCCAATGTCACGTCACCGCAATGGCAAGTGAACTGGTAGACAATATGTGAGACACTGAAATAAGCAGAGACTGTTTGAGTGATTTTGAAAACATAACCTGTTGGTCGACTACAGCTTTACATGTGTGTGCCTTGGAGCCGATTTAAGATTACAGTTTATTTGAAAAAATAAATGGCCGGCTTAGAAAAGCAAAGTGGCATAGCTTGCTCCTTTCCGAAGTTCATTGTTTTTTTGCGCACCAGTCTCGGCTGCTGATGTAGTTTGATAAAGCTTTTCTGATAACCATTGGACAGCAGCTTTCCTTTTATGAACTCCTCTTAGTTTTGTGCTTGATCTATCCAGACTTTCTGGGCTTTGTTGAAGAGGGTTCTGGCCCATCCACGTTTGTAATCCACCGGAGCGAAGCTGGAGAATCGTAAATAACGTCTGCCTCAAGTTGATTTTGATGGATTCTGCGCTGTAGAATCCCGTCTTGACGCCTGGTTAAGTAAATATCTAGAGAGAACAACGTGTTATCGCATACTTCTTTCTAAAATACACTAAGCTGTATATGAATACAGTTAGGAACGGTAACGAATGGGATAAAATTGTCTTCAATCGTAAGAATCCAAATATCATTCACATATCATCTATGAAATAGCAATTTGAATATATTATCACAGAGCTGTTTTTCACTCGTACCCAAGAATACATCTGTCAAAGTTGGGCCCCTTTATATTTTCATGACTACGCCACCAGTTTATCTGTAGGCCCAACCTTCAAAATAAACCGGATGCTTTTTGTGCATAAAAGAACGATATCATTAAGGCATTTACCAGGACTAAGCAAATGAAAGTTGTGCGAAGAAATAAAATCACACAGATAATCTACTTTCTCATGAAGAGGGACCCTTGTAAAAGGTGATTCACTATCGACGGAATACATTAATTCCGAACCCACTGAAATACTATTTGCAAAATCTCGAGTTCAAATGAGTCTTGTAGACAGAATGATGTTATGTGTTTCCAAAGGGGGGTAAGAATCTCGACGAGCCACGGGGCAAGGTATTGATAAGCTGAGTTTCGCATGCATACTATCACCCTCAAAGGAACACGGGGCCTGTGCACTTTGGGTGATCCTCTCAGGTAGGGCCTCTGTCTTCCAAGTGGTGTTAGCTTCTTGTGTGTAGTTTCGGAAATGAAACCGTGTAGGAGCAAAATTTGTAATTGTCTTGTTTTCTGTTTCTCGGTCAGCATATTATTCTCTGAAGAATTGTCCGGTTTGAAAAGTTGCGCATCGGGAAGCGTCCTTTACATTTTCTCCGTGTATCCTGTCTTTTCTCCAATAACGATGCCTGATCCTTTCTTCGGTCGTAGAATTGCTTGCATCTCACGACTTATGTCTTCTCTCTGTCATAGTGAATTGGACTAGCGGGACCGAATATATTTCAAATTTTCCCTAATTTTCTGGGCTCGGTAAGAGCGCATATAAGCAGTCCCATATTTTTTCCTAATGGAAAATTTATCAGAAAGAACATATCATTGAGTAGAATAAAATAAACATAACAGGATCAAAAACAAAAGTGCACGTCATCACCATTTATCTAGGCGGCATTTAGGGGTTACTTTGCAACTGTATATCTCATGCAGCTCATTTAACTACAAAAATGTAACTTATGTGGAATAGAACAGAGTGGACCACCTTTGCCTCCAAATATACCGAAAACATCTGCTTTGATGTAGTCCTATCGAACCTACTGATCCTCGATTGAACGTGTATCCTAAAACAGAAAAAAACTGGAGATTGGCACTGATTTTCACCAACTTGATTGGTGGATATGTTCCATTCAGAATCGGGTCTTCAAATCGGCCAATCAACGAAAGTGAAGAACGGCTAGTAGGACAAACATGAGATTGACATGACAACTTTTATAAGCCAATAGAACCACACGTGAGTTCACTATAAAAGTGTGCGAATACGTAATGCAAGACGAACAACATGAAAGTCATCATTTTCTTGATTGTGATACTGTGCGTGCTGCACTCACAGCAGGCAGGTGAGTGAGTTGGTTATGCGTACTTGACGACCTGCAGCAGCAAACGGAATAGAATAGGTATTCAATATTATTCATTTACATCCGTACCATACCTAATCAGTAGGTTATTTTTAGTGGTTTGATATATTCGCGGGTTCGGTTAAAAGGACGCCGCAAAGTTACAAAGATTTCAGGTTTTGTTGTCTGCGATAAATCAGTTTTTCTCGTTACGCTCAGTGGTACTAGGATGTGATGGGGGGCAAATTTACAAAATATCTTAGTTAAAGGTTCTCCCCTTCTCAAACTGATGAGTAAACAGAGCTATATATAAATCACTTATTTAAAAATGTACAACTGAATATTTAGCACCAGCTGTTATTGTCGAGCAGTTTGCCAGCTTCTGAAAATAGAAACCGTAGTTTGATGGTATTAAGATAATCATAATTAAAATATTAGAAATAACAGTTACGATGAGATTATTTTAAAATAAACTATTTATTTAAGGTGACCTGAGGCAGTTGGCAATGCGTAGAATGTGAAAAATCATCAAAACGTAGATTTTAGTAATTGACAGACGAAGTAACAGCATCATATGCAGCGCTGATCTACGGAGAGAGAGAATACTTCGAAACAATATATCAATAGGAACGTAAATATTGATCTTGTTTTAACTTGATGCATAGAGTTATACGACGGTTACGTTTTACAGTCGATCAGTATAGAAGAATCTGCCATAAAAAGCCCAAATGGGACGAATGCAAGAAACTCATCCGAATGAAACCAAATACCAAAAAGCGTGCACCATGACGAGCAAAAATATTGGGGCTAAAGAAAGCGTAAAAACATATGGCGGTCAAACGGTGTAAAACTGAAAATGTTCACCATGTCGGAAAAATCGTTCTCGGTTGCAGATCCAGAGTAAAAAGATGAGGTGACCTGTGTCATTGATCATGCTGCGGATAGGTCTTCTTCAATTGTTTCACATGATGCACTTCACAAAGGGTGTGAAACAATGAGGGTAATGCCGCTGTGTTCTCGTCCCAAATTTATCCGTCTTTTTGCCGCAACAACAAGCGTTTTGCATGTGAATACTCAACTGTGCGCATTAGATAAAAAAGTTTCGAAATAGGTGCATTTAGCAAAAATGATTCGCCAATCCAGAAAAACACGACACGGATGGAAATGGGACACGAAAATGACAGGAGAATAAAGGGACCTGGAAAAACTCAGACAGCGCAAAAGCAAAGGAAAAAACACAAGAGCAAAAAGGAAATACAAAGGATATATCAAGAACGTGAAAGCATAGGAGAAAAAAAAGAAAAAAAGACGGAAAGAAAAAAATGAATCCGGCTGAAATAAAAAACTATCAAGAAGAGGAAAACGGTTATTAGGTATGGAATAACACAAGATTAAAAAACGCAAACGCTGAAAAATGATCATTATCAAATTAATTTGATTGCAGAATCCCAGCAAAAGCCGGAGGGAGAAGGTGAGCTGTGATTGATCATGTTGCAGTTTGGTCTTGTTCATTCATTCTTCATGATTCACTTCACGGATCGTGTGGTACAAGAAAGATTACGCTGCTGTGTTCTCGTCCCAATTCGATTTGTCTGTTTGCCACAACAAGCAATTTGCATTTGGCAATTCCACTGTGCAGTAGACGAACGGTTTCCCATTTCATTTCTCTTTATCGACACTGATTTGCTAACGCAGATAAACACCATGCGGTTGGATATTCGAATTGAAAATGACACACGAATTTTGGGCACTGAAAATTAGTCTCTCAAATGTTCCCATCAGATAGATCTAAGTACTCGAATGATTTGATGATCATCAACAACAAATCGAAAAACACAAATCAAACGTATGTTATCTAGCGAACTATTCCAACTGAACTGTGCAATTCAGTTATCTGACCAATAGTACATTCATTTATATGTTACTCATCAAATGATTCAATATACAATATGAATGCTCAACTGACCAACGAACAGTATATGAGCACTGTTTACACGTGTTTCATCTCACTCACTTGTTCACAATTAGAACAAGTGCATATTGACCGACTTCTAACTTGCATCCGAACACGAATTGAACGATTGTCAGTCTGATAGACCTAATCCACGTGAACGAATCATGAATGAACAAGAACTCATAATGATCCATGTGATTGATTATCCAGTCCCAATTGAGAATGGATAAATATGGACTGCTGATTGCTCACAACGGTCCACATGAAACCAATTTGTACTCATTTCGCCTGAACATATTTCGAAACGAGCTACAGAAAATGAGAAAGCGCAAAAGCCACACCTGTTTCACAATGGAACAAACAAACGAAAAAAGCATACTGAATTGTTCACTTTCCCCATCTAGTCGCATTTGGGCACAATTGTTTTCACAATTCGAATGTGGCAGTCGACAGGCGAGAAACGAATCTGTGTCATTTTATTAAATACTCTCAGTCCAATCAAATACGAAGGTTATTATTATATGATTGTTCTCATGCGATTGGAAACCTCAATCAGTGTACATTGCTCGTTTCTCATCTTTCTTGATTGTAGAATCCAAGCAAAAGCCGGAGGGAGAAGGTGAGCTGTGATTGATCATGTTGCAGTTTGGTCTTGTTCATTCATTCTTCATGATTCACTTCACGGATCGTGTGGTACAAGAAAGATTACGCTGCTGTGTTCTCGTCTCAATTCGATTTGTCTGTTTGCCACAACAAGCAATTTGCATTTGGCAATTCCACTGTACAGTAGACGAACGGTTTCCCATTTCATTTCTCTTTATCGACACTTATTTGCTAACGCAGATAAACACCATGCGGTTGGATATTCGAATTGAAAATGACACACGAATTTTGGGCACTGAAAATTAGTCTCTCAAATGTTCCCATCAGATAGATCTAAGTACTCGAATGATTTGATGATCATCAACAACAAATCGAAAAACACAAATCAAACGTATGTTATCTAGCGAACTATTCCAACTGAACTGTGCAATTCAGTTATCTGACCAATAGTACATTCATTTATATGTTACTCATCAAATGATTCAATATACAATATGAATGCTCAACTGACCAACGAACAGTATATGAGCACTGTTTACACGTGTTTCATCTCACTCACTTGTTCACAATTAGAACAAGTGCATATTGACCGACTTCTAACTTGCATCCGAACACGAATTGAACGATTGTCAGTCTGATAGACCTAATCCACGTGAACGAATCATGAATGAACAAGAACTCATAATGATCCATGTGATTGATTATCCAGTCCCAATTGAGAATGGATAAATATGGACTGCTGATTGCTCACAACGGTCCACATGAAACCAATTTGTACTCATTTCGCCTGAACATATTTCGAAACGAGCTACAGAAAATGAGAAAGCGCAAAAGCCACACCTGTTTCACAATGGAACAAACAAACGAACAAAGCATACTGAATTGTTCACTTTCCCCATCTAGTCGCATTTGGGCACAATTGTTTTCACAATTCGAATGTGGCAGTCGACAGGCGAGAAACGAATCTGTGTCATTTTATTAAATACCCTCAGTCCAATCAAATACGAAGGTTATTATTGTATGATTGTTCTCATGCGATTGGAAACCTCAATCAGTGTACATTGCTCGTTTCTCATCTTTCTTGATTGTAGAATCCAAGCAAAAGCCGGAGGGAGAAGGTGAGCTGTGATTGATCATGTTGCAGTTTGGTCTTGTTCATTCATTCTTCATGATTCACTTCACGGATCGTGTGGTACAAGAAAGATTACGCTGTTGTGTTCTCGTCCCAATTCGATTTGTCTGTTTGCCACAACAAGCAATTTGCATTTGGCAATTCCACTGTGCAGTAGACGAACGGTTTCCCATTTCATTTCTCTTTATCGACACTTATTTGCTAACGCAGATAAACACCATGCGGTTGGATATTCGAATTGAAAATGACACACGAATTTTGGGCACTGAAAATTAGTCTCTCGAATGTTCCCATCAGATAGATCTAAGTAATCGAATGATTTGATTATTATCAATAAGAAAAAAACACAAATCAAACGTATGTTATCTAGCGAACTATTCCAACTGAACTGTGCAATTCAGTTATCTGACCAATAGTACATTCATTTATATGTTACCCATCAAATGATTCAATATACAATATGAATGCTCAACTGACCAACGAACAGTATATGAGCACTGTTTACACGTGTTTCATCTCACTCACTTGTTCACAATTAGAACAAGTGCATATTGACCGACTTCTAACTTGCATCCGAACACGAATTGAACGATTGTCAGTCTGATAGACCTAATCCACGTGAACGAATCATGAATGAACAAAAACTCATAATGATCCATGTGATTGATTATCCAGTCCCAATTGAGAATGGATAAATATGGACTGCTGATTGCTCACAACGGTCCACATGAAACCAATTTGTACTCATTTCGCCTGAACATATTTCGAAACGAGCTACAGAAAATGAGAAAGCGCAAAAACCACACCTGTTTCACAATGGAACAAACAAACGAAAAAAGCATACTGAATTGTTCACTTTCCCCATCTAGTCGCAATTGGGCACAATTGTTTTCACAATTCGAATGTGGCAGTCGACAGGCGAGAAACGAATCTGTGTCATTTCATTAAATACTCTCAGTCCAATCAAATACGAAGGTTATTATTGTATGATTGTTCTCATGCGATTGGATACCTCAATCAGTGTACATTGCTCGTTTCTCATCTTTCTTGATTGTAGAATCCAAGCAAAAGCCGGAGGGAGAAGGTGAGCTGTGATTGATCATGTTGCAGTTTGGTCTTGTTCATTCATTCTTCATGATTCACTTCACGGATCGTGTGGTACAAGAAAGATTACGCTGCTGTGTTCTCGTCCCAATTCGATTTGTCTGTTTGCCACAACAAGCAATTTGCATTTGGCAATTCCACTGTGCAGTAGACGAACGGTTTCCCATTTCATTTCTCTTTATCGACACTTATTTGCTAACGCAGATAAACACCATGCGGTTGGATATTCGAATTGAAAATGACACACGAATTTTGGGCACTGAAAATTAGTCTCTCAAATGTTCCCATCAGATAGATCTAAGTAATCGAATGATTTGATCATTATCAATAAGAAAAAAACACAAATCAAACGTATGTTATCTAGCGAACTATTCCAACTGAACTGTGCAATTCAGTTATCTGACCAATAGTACATTCATTTATATGTTACCCATCAAATGATCCAATATACAATATGAATGCTCAACTGACCAACGAACAGTATATGAGCACTGTTTACACGTGTTTCATCTCACTCACTTGTTCACAATTAGAACAAGTGCATATTGACCGACTTCTAACTTGCATCCGAACACGAATTGAACGATTGTCAGTCTGATAGACCTAATCCACGTGAACGAATCATGAATGAACAAGAACTCATAATGATCCATGTGATTGATTATCCAGTCCCAATTGAGAATGGATAAATATGGACTGCTGATTGCTCACAACGGTCCACATGAAACCAATTTGTACTCATTTCACCTGAACATATTTCGAAACGAGCTACAGAAAATGAGAAAGCGCAAAAGCCACACCTGTTTCACAATGGAACAAACAAACGAACAAAGCATACTGAATTGTTCACTTTCCCCATCTAGTCGCAATTGGGCACAATTGTTTTCACAATTCGAATGTGGCAGTCGACAGGCGAGAAACGAATCTGTGTCATTTTATTAAATACTCTCAGTCCAATCAAATACGAAGGTTATTATTGTATGATTGTTCTCATGCGATTGGATACCTCAATCAGTGTACATTGCTCGTTTCTCATCTTTCTTGATTGTAGAATCCAAGCAAAAGCCGGAGGGAGAAGGTGAGCTGTGATTGATCATGTTGCAGTTTGGTCTTATTCATTCATTCTTCATGATTCACTTCACGGATCGTGTGGTACAAGAAAGATTACGCTGCTGTGTTCTCGTCCCAATTCGATTTGTCTGTTTACCACAACAAGCAATTTGCATTTGGCAATTCCACTGTGCAGTAGACGAACGGTTTCCCATTTCATTCCTCTTTATCGACACTTATTTGCTAACGCAGATAAACACCATGCGGTTGGATATTCGAATTGTAAATGACACACGAATTTTGGGCACTGAAAATTAGTCTCTCAAATGTTCCCATCAGATAGATCTAAGTACTCGAATGATTTGATGATCATCAACAACAAAACGAAAAACACAAATCAAAAGTATGTTATCTAGCGAACTATTCCAACTGAACTGTGCAATTCAGTTATCTGACCAATAGTACATTCATTTATATGTTACCCATCAAATGATTCAATATACAATATGAATGCTCAACTGACCAACGAACAGTATATGAGCACTGTTTACACGTGTTTCATCTCACTCACTTGTTCACAATTAGAACAAGTGCATATTGACCGACTTCTAACTTGCATCCGAACACGAATTGAACGATTGTCAGTCTGATAGACCTAATCCACGTGAACGAATCATGAATGAACAAGAACTCATAATGATCCATGTGATTGATTATCCAGTCCCAATTGAGAATGGATAAATATGGACTGCTGATTGCTCACAACGGTCCACATGAAACCAATTTGTACTCATTTCACCTGAACATATTTCGAAACGAGCTACAGAAAATGAGAAAGCGCAAAAGCCACACCTGTTTCACAATGGAACAAACAAACGAACAAAGCATACTGAATTGTTCACTTTCCCCATCTAGTCGCATTTGGGCACAATTGTTTTCACAATTCGAATGTGGCAGTCGACAGGCGAGAAACGAATCTGTGTCATTTTATTAAATACTCTCAGTCCAATCAAATACGAAGGTTATTATTGTATGATTGTTCTCATGCGTATGGATACCTCAATCAGTGTACATTGCTCGTTTCTCATCTTTCTTGATTGTAGAATCCAAGCAAAAGCCGGAGGGAGAAGGTGAGCTGTGATTGATCATGTTGCAGTTTGGTCTTGTTCATTCATTCTTCATGATTCACTTCACGGATCGTGTGGTACAAGAAAGATTACGCTGTTGTGTTCTCGTCCCAATTCGATTTGTCTGTTTGCCACAACAAGCAATTTGCATTTGGCAATTCCACTGTGCAGTAGACGAACGGTTTCCCATTTCATTTCTCTTTATCGACACTTATTTGCTAACGCAGATAAACACCATGCGGTTGGATATTCGAATTGAAAATGACACACGAATTTTGGGCACTGAAAATTAGTCTCTCGAATGTTCCCATCAGATAGATCTAAGTACTCGAAAGATGTGATCATTATCAATAAGAAAAAAACACAAATCAAAAGTATGTTATCTAGCGAACTATTCCAACTGAACTGTGCAATTCAGTTATCTGACCAATAGTACATTCATTTATATGTTACCCATCAAATGATTCAATATACAATATGAATGCTCAACTGACCAACGAACAGTATATGAGCACTGTTTACACGTGTTTCATCTCACTCACTTGTTCACAATTAGAACAAGTGCATATTGACCGACTTCTAACTTGCATCCGAACACGAATTGAACGATTGTCAGTCTGATAGACCTAATCCACGTGAACGAATCATAAATGAACAAAAACTCATAATGATCCATGTGATTGATTATCCAGTCCCAATTGAGAATGGATAAATATGGACTGCTGATTGCTCACAACGGTCCACATGAAACCAATTTGTACTCATTTCACCTGAACATATTTCGAAACGAGCTACAGAAAATGAGAAAGCGCAAAAACCACACCTGTTTCACAATGGAACAAACAAACGAACAAAGCATACTGAATTGTTCACTTTCCCCATCTAGTCGCATTTGGGCACAATTGTTTTCACAATTCGAATGTGGCAGTCGACAGGCGAGAAACGAATCTGTGTCATTTTATTAAATACTCTCAGTCCAATCAAATACGAAGGTTATTATTATATGATTGTTCTCATGCGATTGGATACCTCAATCAGTGTACATTGCTCGTTTCTCATCTTTCTTGATTGTAGAATCCAAGCAAAAGCCGGAGGGAGAAGGTGAGCTGTGATTGATCATGTTGCAGTTTGGTCTTGTTCATTCATTCTTCATGATTCACTTCACGGATCGTGTGGTACAAGAAAGATTACGCTGCTGTGTTCTCGTCCCAATTCGATTTGTCTGTTTGCCACAACAAGCAATTTGCATTTGGCAATTCCACTGTGCAGTAGACGAACGGTTTCCCATTTCATTTCTCTTTATCGACACTGATTTGCTAACGCAGATAAACACCATGCGGTTGGATATTCGAATTGAAAATGACACACGAATTTTGGGCACTGAAAATTAGTCTCTCAAATGTTCCCATCAGATAGATCTAAGTACTCGAATGATTTGATGATCATCAACAACAAAACGAAAAACACAAATCAAACGTATGTTATCTAGCGAACTATTCCAACTGAACTGTGCAATTCAGTTATCTGACCAATAGTACATTCATTTATATGTTACCCATCAAATGATTCAATATACAATATGAATGCTCAACTGACCAACGAACAGTATATGAGCACTGTTTACACGTGTTTCATCTCACTCACTTGTTCACAATTAGAACAAGTGCATATTGACCGACTTCTAACTTGCATCCGAACACGAATTGAACGATTGTCAGTCTGATAGACCTGTTCCACGTGAACGAATCATGAATGAACAAGAACTCATAATGATCCATGTGATTGATTATCCAGTCCCAATTGAGAATGGATAAATATGGACTGCTGATTGCTCACAACGGTCCACATGAAACCAATTTGTACTCATTTCACCTGAACATATTTCGAAACGAGCTACAGAAAATGAGAAAGCGCAAAAGCCACACCTGTTTCACAATGGAACAAACAAACGAACAAAGCATACTGAATTGTTCACTTTCCCCATCTAGTCGCAATTGGGCACAATTGTTTTCACAATTCGAATGTGGCAGTCGACAGGCGAGAAACGAATCTGTGTCATTTTATTAAATACTCTCAGTCCAATCAAATAAGAAGGTTATTATTGTATGATTGTTCTCATGCGATTGGATACCTCAATCAGTGTACATTGCTCGTTTCTCATCTTTCTTGATTGTAGAATCCAAGCAAAAGCCGGAGGGAGAAGGTGAGCTGTGATTGATCATGTTGCAGTTTGGTCTTGTTCATTCATTCTTCATGATTCACTTCACGGATCGTGTGGTACAAGAAAGATTACGCTGCTGTGTTCTCGTCCCAATTCGATTTGTCTGTTTGCCACAACAAGCAATTTGCATTTGGCAATTCCACTGTGCAGTAGACGAACGGTTTCCCATTTCATTTCTCTTTATCGACACTTATTTGCTAACGCAGATAAACACCATGCGGTTGGATATTCGAATTGTAAATAACACACGAATTTTGGGCACTGAAAATTAGTCTCTCAAATGTTCCCATCAGATAGATCTAAGTACTCGAATGATTTGATGATCATCAACAACAAAACGAAAAACACAAATCAAACGTATGTTATCTAGCGAACTATTCCAACTGAACTGTGCAATTCAGTTATCTGACCAATAGTACATTCATTTATATGTTACCCATCAAATGATTCAATATACAATATGAATGCTCAACTGACCAACGAACAGTATATGAGCACTGTTTACACGTGTTTCATCTCACTCACTTGTTCACAATTAGAACAAGTGCATATTGACCGACTTCTAACTTGCATCCGAACACG